GTGTGTTCAAAATCTTGCTTCCTTTGGTATTTAACACATTTCCTTTTCGATATTTCATAAGTGATGTAAGGTATGGTTGAAGATATTTAACAAGAAACGCTGAACTTCATCAGCAGTTCTTACCCACAATTTTTATGGAGCTGACAGTCTCTTCTAGTTTTAAACTCTTGTCACCTTAAGTATTTAGTATTCATATTAAAAGACAAAGTTTGAATAGACATTAACAAAAAACAATAATAACTCTGACTAAATATCTTTCAATTGAATATTATAATAAAGTCAATATTCGGATATTTTATATATTCAAATGTATTTCTACAGAATAACATTTCATCCTATTAAGGAGGAAAAATGATGTTCACTCTGGGACTCGAACCCAGTAACATTCGCTTCAAACAATACCAAGTGAATTTAAACTTCACACCATTGTACGAGCAAATGGCTATCAGGACTCAGTAGCTAAGTGCATGACGCGATGGTGTTTGAAGCGAAAGGTACTGAGTTCGAGTCCCAGAGTGAACATCAAATCTGAGATGCAGTTACATTCAGCTGACGAGTCCCAAATAGGACGAAAGGCACGTCCTGGATTCCACTGCTAGCCACTATCCATCTTTGCTTAAAATTACACTATGTTTTTATAAAATATGAAAATCATACATTAAATAAATTATTTGCACATACTTCATGATTCTTCCGATTCTGTTGTTGTTCCAATTCTTCTCTTTTTCCCTTCCTGTTCTCTTCGGTTCAATCTTCTGCCGGCAGGCATTCCACATCTGATTAGTGCTACATACTACTTCTAAAGGAATTCATCAGTCTGTGTCACAGCATCTCATCAACTTGTATACAACCTAAAATTATAATTCTTAATAAATAATTAACATATATTGAGATTGTGAATTTTAGATAAATGTTCGGAACGTAATCAGAATCATAATAATAAGAAGAATGCCCTCAAATGACCTGGTAAGGCCGAGAGTGGGGAGAGTTTGCTCTCCCTCTCCAAATGCTCTTACATGGCCACGCGTATATAGCGTCTGCCAGGGAAGTCCTAATCACTGCCTTCTCGTGGCGAGGGTGTTTTTTACGAAATTGAGAGGATGAAAAGCGAATATCTGGCGCTTTAACCTGGTTGGTAGACACGGAAAGTTCATCTGGGGGAGTTGGAAAACTCTCACTTCAAATCAATGGTTCACATGGGCTCCAGTATCTTGAGGGAACAAATAGCATATGAATCAATCGTTGGTCACATATATTCAATATGTGAGGTTTAAATAAATGTTTGGAACGTAATCAAAATCATAATAAGAAGTAGAATAGTGATATGAAATGTATGAATAAACATAGTTAAGATCAATTTTGCTTCGCGTGTTGAATGTTGAATTGTTTTTTTTTCATTTTTTACAGAAGATGAATGAAAGTGAAATACTTTTTTTTCTGGTAGCCATGGAATATTTGCATAGGGAAGTAAACATACCATCTAACATATAATACGTATAACTTTATTTCATGCTTCTCTTAAATTATTCATATCAAACTGCATGTATGATTATGTGGAAAAGTGAATTTGAATCAGGTATAATTCTCTTTCTCACTCTTTCTGTAAGCATTATAATCGATTTTCTGTAGTTCTCTTGGAAACAATAAGATGCCAATCTTATGTTAACTTATTTTTATTTACTTTGTTTCAACTATATATATTGGGCGTGTAGTTCTTCTTTCCTTGTTCTTTTATTATGTCAAAGAATTCATTTTTCAGATATGATTCAAACGAAACTTCTTAAAGTGATTCTCGAATATATTTGCAAACTGACTGTAGTTTAACAAACCTTGTAAAACATTGGAGTTATGATATGCCTCAAGGTTACGTACTTATAAACATTGGATTTGTGATATCATAAGACAGTAAGAACTATACATTCTTAATCTCATTCTTATTTTGATGTTTCAATTGTGAGAAATCTTATTTTAGCATGATTCAACTATGCGTTGCTTCTTAGTTTCCAAGGCATATCTAGCTGATGACTAATAGTGATAGACACTAAGGACCATCAACGTTGATGATCTATGTCGAATGATTGGAGGCCTACTCGAGTAAGGCGGAAACGGTGTATCGAACAAGCTAACTTCGAAGGCACACCTCGCGACCAGCACCTTACGTGGATTGCCCCATCAACGTATCAAGGGACCATGGATGCTCTGAAGACTGTACAACACAAAGGACGTTATTACAAGAATATATTAGTTAAAGGAGATACAAGCAAAAGTAGAACCACTGCCGCATGGGCCAGTCCATGGCGTATGATTAACTGATGCGCGTTGATTGTCCTTGACCTTGACAGGGATGGATGATGTGTTCGATATTCAGCGACCCAACTGCCGGATGATTTGGCTAGGGTTCAGTGACATTTCACTGGCCCTACAATACTAATCTTAACTTATTTCAAGAAAATTGTACTTCATATTACTACATACCTTTCCCTTATTTTAATACTTATTAAGTACGTAAAATGTAGTAGTAAGCAGGATAAATGTGACAAACCAATCTATATGTATAGTTTCCTGTAGGATATTTTTTTTTCATTTATAGGAAAGGTGATTTATCAATTTTGACCAATAGGTGATAGTATGACCCTGAGTAATGACAATGATAAATTGATCACTGGGAAAACTTTTGGAAGAATTCATTGTGTTTAGATGCTTACTTTTCTCATCCATCAGAATTATACTTACCTCACACTTTTAGTATTGTCCTTATAGAGAGAATTATTTTTTTCATTTATGAGCTTCATTTATAATCTAACTAAATAGACAGTTGTATCTGATAGGATTTTTTTTATTAATCTGAATAACTATCAAAAAATAGCTACTCAATATCAGATATACTGTGATAATGATGTCATGATTTAAAAGAATCAATTTCTATAGTGTATGACAAATATTAGAGAAAACTTGGAAACAATGGACGGCCTTTTCGTCCTAGTATGAGACACCTCAGCAGTGAGCATCCATGATCCTGAATGTGGGACTCGAAATCAGGACCTTCAGTGTTGCACAAACACTTAACCTCTACACCATTGAGACGATTCATGAAATAAACAACTTTTGAAAAATTACTACAATCTTTACAAACTTCATTCTGAAAATATCAGAGTGTCATTTTGTTTTTTATGAACAACCTCTTCAGTAATGTATTCAGACAGTATTTTCTAGAACTTGTTTTTTTTATTTCTTTAGATTGTAGAATTCAAAATATATGAAACAATTTTCAAATTGTCATTGACTAGGTAAAAACTATTTCTGGCGCTTCGTGAATTAATGTGAGCCGAAATAGCCGAAATAAAAATTATACAAATTTAAACCGATGTCAATTTTATCTCAGTTATTTATTTACTCTGAAGAAATGGCTTACATTAAGTCACGAAACATCAGAAATACAATTTTTCTACTCATTGGGATTTAACAACCAAAGATATATTTATAAGAAAAGATGGACAGTGGCTAGCAGTGGAATCCAGGACGCGCATCATCCAGCTGACGACTCCCAAATGAGACGAAACGCGCGTCAAACTGGATTCCACTGCTAGCCACTATTTGTCTTTGTTTATAATGCTTGTGAATTAAGGCAATATCGAGACAATATGCACAGTATGCACATATGCCAATAAGAGACTGATCAACTGCAGTCCTAAACATCAATGGAAAGATTCAAATAAACAATACTATGTGAATTCAATACATTCATTGGTTGTGAATTTCAATGTTATGGATGACTTGAATTAGTAGAGTTTAGTTTGGTCAATGGAAATATATCAATAATATAGTAAAATATAAGATGTGTATTCGTTAATATTTTGTCGAAACCATTTCTTTAATCAACCCAACTGAAAAGATTCAGCATTAGTTATAAAAAGTCTTTTCTAATAAAATATAAGGAAATAACTATAATAAACAGCGAGACTATAATTTATGGATGAACCAATCAGGAATGAGATAACAGGTCTCAGATGTTGGCGCAAAATTCACTTGTCAATATGGCGAAATAGAGTTTTGGCATTATAGCTTATGTCAGTTCATGATGAAAACCCTAAATTTAATTTCTAACCTTAATCATCAACTGTAAATCATGATTTTCATACCTCACATCGGTTTATAACCGTCGTTTGGTACTGTTTATTAAGTGAACACTATCAAGGTCAGCCTAGAGTCGTTCAAAAATCCTCCATAAATTATAGTCTTACCGAACAAACAGTTATCTATATGAATTGTTTGTAAACAAAGATTTGCATAAATAAATGATTTCAGTAAAACGTTAAAACTTTCAAATAGAAAATAACATTTCAGCTATGTAATATGATGTACAAATGGTCTACGGATCATTACTAAAGATGATAAAGTGCATGAAACTCACCCAATTTTAGTTTTTTTTCCATTAACATATTTTCCTAGTGAATACTTTTAAAATAAAAATCCCTTTTGTATGATTTTAACCCAGGTGATCCATCAGAGGATAAAGTTATGCTGTACAGGTTGTAAGCAGAATGAAGAATCTAGAACCACTTTCTTGAAGAATCCTCAGCAAAGGATATAGATGACCCCACCGGGGGTTTTAAGACATCAAATCTAGGTTATGTACATGAGGGCTTAACTTTTAGGCTTCCAAGCTGATATCCAATGATGTAGTGTAATTTAAACTCTAAACGTTCATTTCATGACCTGGAATTCCGGGTTTCAATATTTGATGGGATCATCAATGAGTGATGTTAAGAAATATCACACTAATACGGAACACTTATTCAGTGCCTCATGGATTTTAACTATTGTCAAATTAATATCAGTTGATGATCCCAATTTATGAGAATTCGATAAACTCCATAAATCTTATTAGCAAAATTGTATATATAATTATCTATATAGATAATAATCATTCATAGACTATTCTTGTATTGATAAACTGACAATTTGAGTTTTTTTTTTCTATTTGTTTAATTATACATTAGGTAATTCATGCCGAAGGTAGTAAACGTGTTATGAATGAATGTATACAAGTTGGAAGATGGCGTCGTTTTGTTCATGCACAATATTTAAATTGTTATACATATGATATACATGAAATCTATCGTAATCATGTACGTACCATAGAATTATTTGTTTATTTAGATGAATCAATGAATATTACATCATGTTCTGATTGTTTTAGTTCAGAAATTAAATCACAATTAAGTGGAGCTGTAGTTACTGTACATAATGCAGAAACTTATCCAGATATAAATCAAGAAGGAATAAATATTCAACCGGGTAGTTTAACTGAAATAAAAGTTAAAACTATTAAACATACACAAAAAACACCACCATATGGACGTTGTTCACCTGATACTCCAACAAAAATAAATCTTTACGGTTCGGAAGTGTATGCATATTCAGAACATGCATGTCGAATGAGTACTATACAAGTAAGTTGGTAGTCTAACCAGTTCTCTGTTAATTTTTTCATTGAAGGTTAGATTTGCTATAATATGCTGTTTTTTTTATTACGTCTAGAAAAGTGTTATACAGAATTTGATTTTGTATTTGTTCCAATGTTTCAAGTGGGTCTCAGAAAAAAGTAATTAAAGCTAAGTGTTTGCGCACGAGACTGAACCTATTGAGTTCGAATCCTATGTGCAGGATTTTTCATGCACACTACTAAGGAGTCCCGTACTAGGACGAAACGGCCGTTCAGTGCTCTCAGGTTTCCAATGGTGATCTAACATCTATCGATTTATGGTGTCAATCAAAAATTAGCAATCTCCACAACCTCATATTAATAATTAAGAAAATATTTTAATAGATCATTATAAGATATTTTGATCTAGCGAAAAATGTAGTTGATTCTTTGTGATACAACACTTACTTGAAATAAATGGTACAGGTAAATGACTTTCATTTAGACTAGTTCAACTTAGTTATATATCAGAAATACGAACAATATTATAGGGAATGTCTAATTGATGAAGCGTCAGGTTAAAGTGATATGGATTTGATTCGACAATAAAGTATCATTAATGTGGGGTTGTAGAGATTGTTAAGTATTTGATTGAGATCATTAATTGATGAATGTTAGACAACCATTCAAAAACCTGGAAGCACTAAAATTACAAAAGTATTGTGTAGATGAATCCAAACAAGCATGAAGTCCAAATCATGTATTTCCTGGAAATTTTCAGAACTTTAACATACTACAGAGTTGTATAACATAATAACTTTGATGTCCAGAATGTTGTTAACTAAGAATCCGTTTGAATTCAGCTTTCTGTTATGTCAAATTGATTAATTTTCAAAATTCTTTAAATTAAGGAAGATCATAAAACGAATTTCACTGATTATCGAATTCCCAAAATATTCCATTTTCATACCTAAATGGTCAGAATACATCACCATCATTTTATATAACACAGTTTGTGATGTCATCAGATATACATTCGCGTACAAAGAATTGGATACTTAAGGTGAACATAATTAAAAACATGGAAGATTGTAAAAATATGGGTTTCTGTTAGTCAACTACAAGCTAATGATTTTCAAACTTAATTAATACACTTAATAAACGGTTTTATCGAATCCCTAGAGGTTAATTATGGTTCAAATGTAAGAGTTTGAGTCCAACCCAATATGAAACTTTAGTCAACGAGGGATTGATGATGTATATCTTATTTTTAAGTAAAAAAAAATGGGTGACATAATAGGAATTAGATTTTTAGTTCTGTATTGATAAATAGCCTAATGCAATGTTTTGAACAGTAAACAAACGTACGTGGTCTAATAAATAAGTGTAGTGAACGAGAACACAAGTGGGAACAATCGAATGTATTCGAACACACAAATTACAGAATCCCTTAATAAAATCTGAGAACCATACAGTAAATACTTCATTTACAAAATGTCAATCAATCATCTCAAACTTCAATGTTCCTTCGTTTCACATCAGTCATTTTTCTGTTCTCGTTCTCTATCCTTCGATCTTCTTAACCTTCTATCACCAGGTATTTCACTTTCTATTGATAATACGTACCTTTTACATCTGTCGACATCAGTAGCACACATCACATAAGGACTGATAAACTATTATTTTTAGGTAATAAATAAAGCAGTTCAGAAAAGTAAACTGAATTATACTTAATTATTCACCGCTTTAATTTATTCTGATTTCGGTGCTGTCTGTATTCAACTACTATTTGTGTCATTCTGATAAATATCCATCACAAAACGACACTAAGCATGCACACTGAACAGTAAGTGGACATGAGTAACTGAAAGGTATTTTTGAAACCTTATTAGATTATTTTATCTACTTATCAGATAGTCTAGTGTTATTTACTTTTGTCTCAGAAATGAGAGTTAGACAATTTAGAAAAAATAACGTATAGGTCAAAACCTGACAACTTTCAAGGAGTGTTTTAAAAACAGAAAAATCATAGATGTTAATAGTGAACTGACATAAATGGGAAGGATTTCGAAGAGAATAAGCTTAGTATTTTCTACATTTGTTTGTCATAACTCCTCATTTATGTTACAAGAAACGATTATAATTCAAAAAGGGAATGATCATTTGACAGGATATTCTAAGAAAGTTCAAAAACCGAAATCAAATCGTCTACGTCTGGAGTTCTGTTTCTCACACAGAGTAATGAATTACTGGAATTCTCTGTCAGAACACTTAATATCAGCACCTTGTTTTTATGTATTCATAATGAGATTGGACATCCATAGTGTTACAAACTGCAAGGATTAACACAGATCGATATAACTCCTATCTTTACTACTAAACACTAAATTCACTAACCTGTAAATAAGCTTTCATACAGTATTGTTGGTATTCAGTGTAGATAACATTTCTGGTGTAATTTATGTAGCCAATAAAAAATATGAATAAGAACAAACAGAAGATTGAATAGAAATTTAAACTCACGAATAACTCATAGCATAACATTTTCTTTCACTAGCCTGTATGTTGTTACGAAGGGATACTTTATTAAGATACCTACCTACTTATGCCTGTGGAGGAGCATAGGCCGCTAACCAGCATTCTCCATTCAACCCTGTCTTGGGTTAACCTTTCCAGTACTTTCCAGTTAGCTTTATTAACTTGTTTCTATCTACTACATGACCGCTGTCGACCAAGTGTGATAGAATAGAGATAAGTATCGTTTTGACAGTACCGTTTCCTAACCACGAAAGGAAGTTTATATAAGAAATCTCGTCTAAATTAGAGCGAATAGTTTCACAGTATTTGAGCGCCGAGTTGATATAAGACATTATATAGGAATAATATATATTTATAAAATCTCAGCGAATGAATTTTGTAGTAAATCCAACTTTTCGCCTAGCAATCTGGTCCAAGCTTTTTCAAGGAATTATAATCAAACATCAAAATTATCGAATCTCACGAAAGGAAGTGTTCACTAACTCGTTGGCTCAGTTGTCTGGTAGTGCACTTAATATAGCTTTCTCCACAGGAGCAGCTGAAATCTTAGATTCACATAGACGTGGCAGGACCAGGTAACTTATCCTTTAGTTGAGGAATCACCACAGATCAGGTTGAGTGTGATAGACAGAGGTTAGTGGCATTAAACATTCTCTTAACTGCTCCAATCATTCTATCCCGTAGCATATCACTAGCTACATCTTGGTTGAATTGCTGCGTCAGGAAGAGAGGTTTCTTACTAGCCGATTATGTCACTACTTTCTACTTTGTTACATGCAAATGTTTCTACAGGAAACCTTTTAGATAATCTATCTCAATCAACATATTATTTATAAGCTATAGTTCCCTGTCTATAGTATCGACCGAGCATATATTCCTAGCTCTATTGGCAAGACATCTAACTAGGTTTCTCTTATAATGAGTGAGTACAAATCTCAAGAAATATGTGTACTGGCTTGCCGAAGAACTTTTCCTATACACACTTCTACTGATAGAATCACTTTCTTTTCTGTTTAACAGAACGTCAAAAAATGTAGTTTATTATTAAGTTTCTCTGCACATGTTAATTTGATCGCTAAATGTTTATTGTAAAATATCTCTAAGAGTTCATTTTTCCAATGTTCTGATCGATGATAATGAAAGTATCATCAATGTAACAACAACTGAAGTCAACCTTATCGATAACTTCTTTGAGAGGTCCATTTTCTAGTTTCACTGAAAAACATTTAGCAAGGATAAGATCTAGAGGTGAATCCCATAGCTATTCCCTAAATTTCTCTATAATACTTGCGATTAAAGACAAAATGGATATTCGTTGTACATTTAAGAAGTAATTCTTTGAGGCTAACCTCGGGAATCCCGATATTGGTCTGTTTTTCAAGTACTTGTTGGCACAAAAAGTCAATAGCTTCACTTAATTGTACACTGGAGAACAATGAAGCAAAATCTGGCGATATCGTCAGTTTGCCATTTAAGTTCTCATGTTCCACCTTGGAGAACTACTACATCCATCGTCAAGAAGGTACAAGTATTTATAAACAGTTGTTTACGCAAAATAATCAACATTCACTGGCCGGATACTATCAGCAACAGCGTTTTATGGGATAGAACAAACCAGCTTCCAGCTGAAGAGGAAATTAGGAAAAGACATTGGAAGTCGATAGGACATACATTAAGGAAATCACCAACTTGCGTCACGAGGCGATCCCTAACTTGGAATCCGGAAGAGAAGCAGAAAACAGGAAGGCCAAAGAACATATTACGTCCGGAAATAGAAGCAGATATGAAAAGGATGAATGTTAACTGGAAAGAACTGGAAAGGATTGCCCAGGACAGAGTTGAATGGAGTATGCTGGTGAGCGGCCTATGCTCCTCGACGAGGGGTAACAGGCGTAAGTAAGTAAAGTAAGTTCCACCTTGAAAATGAAATGGAAAATGTCTTTAATGCTTCTGTGGACGACCAGTTTGTGTACGTTTTACTTATTATGTTTATTTATATGATCTATTCCACTGTTATCATTAACTCATAAACCGCTTTGATTGGTTTAATTATTTCGTATATGCATATAAATACTAATGTGTATTATATTAAAGCCCGATGAGAATCTAATTGAAAACAATATTGTTTGTTTATATATGTTGTTTTAAATGATGACTTTATATAAATTCGAATTAATTAAATGGGAAAAACAGAACACCTGATCATTAATTGTAAATTGAATTATATAAATAATTACCATTGAAATATGAACCAAAAACAGAAATACGTCAAACAGTATAAACATAGAAACATCTCTGACAGAGGGAAGGATGAAAGTGCCCACTGTGAACAATACATAACGAATGATGGAAAACACCGTCATTTAGTGCACTTGTTTACTTTATTCATGATTTTGTAATAATATATATATACATTGAATGTTCATTATCTAGATCAAAATATATCTTAACATTGTTATCCAGTGAATAATCAAACTTGTTACTTACAGT